TTCTAGTACTTTGTGTGTTAGTGAATTGAATTGAACACAGACTTTACACATACAAATACACTTGATGTCAGAGAACAGCCTCGGGAAATCGTGCTATTAAAGGTCTAATAATCAGAATATCTGCGGCTATATGCAAGAAATACCAACATGAATCGATTTAGAGCATTCATTACTGCCCGAAAGGATATAAAATGATGAAATACGAATAATATTACCTGTGAAAGACCGATGTTTTGACTTTCTTCTAGGTGGATCACTGACATCAAGTGTGTATTTGTGTAAATCTCTGTATTTTCGAAACAAATGCTCACTAACACACGATGTACTACAAAAGTTCTGAAATACTTAGCCCTCTCCGTTTGAAGAATTATCACTCTTCAACGCAAAGAATTTGGAAACACTTTGACCATTCTTGGCTAGTTTTGTCGATATTCGAGGAAACCGATTCATGTTGGGGGAGGAGCTATCAAATCGTAGTCATGGAAATGTCTATGATTGACATCTATAAAATGCATGAATCCAATAGGATTTTTTTCGTCCGACTCCCTACGTGTTATCCGTAACGGATGTAACTCTCTTTAGATTAAAAAAAGAGAATAAAACGACAACATAAGCAGTCAAAATTGCACAAATAAAACATTTGTTTGCTTTTACAAACATTCGAACGTGCACACTAAGGAAAAACACTTCGTAAGGCGAAAAAAAATCAAAACATTTTTGTGTCTAGTTTTGATACAAGCSTTTCTCATCGTGTAATGTGTATTAGCATAAATTGATCCTCATTAGCTTTTTTTATCCGGTTATGTGAAATCGTTCTAGTGATTTTGTCGTTCAGGTATGTTAGTCAGACAAGAAATCAATGAAAACAATGAAACTAAAGCGTTCAGAATATTCGGGTCGCTTGATTTTGGGTGATAATATTTTCGATTTTGGCGAATGCACTTAAATTACAACCTKTAATATATGTCTCTGAATTTGGAAGTTACAAAAATGAGTTCTAAATTATGGTTATTCCTTTGTTTTTTGTTTTATCTAATCAACAATGTCTTATAATATATAATGTACGCTAAATCTTTTTCACAGGTATGTTGTTTACACTCTCTGAAAATAAGCAACCAATGAAGAAGTATTTACACGTACCTTTGCACTTGCAGCTAATAAGCATACCAATTATTCGTTGATGTCAAGACATAAAGATTTTATAGCAACCTATAAGTCATTGTCGTTGACAAATGTTTCTTTGATATCAGTGTGGAATATGAACATATTGAAAAGCGCATCGAGCTGAGAAAGATAGTCGCAAGTATTTTGAATTGCAAATTGATCTTGAAAAAGAAAGCCCTCATCCATGGACACGGTATGMAGGGTCACGCAATCAGGACTCTAATCATTTTCGATACATGACGCCATAACTCATGGATGGCTTCTACGACTGGCTAAGAATTTCAAGAAGACAATCACCGTCTATTGACATTGTGTAGCCCTCAYGGGTTTTGCGAYATCTYTTTCGGTCGGTTTACTAGCTTTTTGTTTATAAATAATAGAAAACAATAGGATTTAAGAACGTCGAAACAATGAGCATTGATCATAAGAAACCTTACAAACTCGTGAATTAAGGATAACAGGATTACATTGGTGAYTGTCCTTTTGTTTGTTCCTTGAAATAAAAACCAATCGGATATTCTCTTATGGTTTGAGAACGAGACAAATCTTGATGAGGAAAAAAAAAATCGATCTCGTCTTTGTAACGTCCTGACCGACTTGTTGCTGTAGATAAAGAAGCGTTACTCTCAAAGTAATCTTGATCGTTACCCGACATGTTGGAGAGATATTCATTTCATTTTTATTTCCACAAAAACTCTTGTTTTACATGGGAACGTAACAATTACGTGTTAAAGTTCTGTCTAAGTAGTCCTTCGAATGAAGTTTATTTTTAAGTAACAATGCGCGTAAGAATTATAGAACTCTCTATTGTTCTGCGGCATTGCAACTTCCCCACATACAAATGTSTTGGTTTTCACAATGATTGTATATCAACCTATGGGTAACGCATTTTTGAAAAAAAATGTGGATAAACTCTATTTTGAAACAAAGTTTCTTTTGTATTAAAAGCTCTTATCCAATCATAAGCACTTAAAACAATAGCCAAAAGAAGCTTCTAATTTGCTATGATCCCCACATAGAATTGCCTTAATATTGTAGYTAAACAAAGCTTTCATGAAGTCGGAATCAGATTCGATATTAATAAAATATTAGAAAATGCGATAACTTGTGAAATTATAGCGGAGCTCCCGCGCGGAGCACCATAACTAAGGAAAACTGGTAAACCCATSGAGATGAGTTTTGATCAACCGACATARGAAGCCCATCGCGATTAAATTTCGCGAAATTTAAATTGCATGAAAATGTTTGGAACTTATTCTTCGTTTTCAATATTTAACAAATGATTTCTCATTAGAGTTYATCCATCAGAAAAGACTTGAGAGAACTCGAAAGATAATGTTCTTAACATAAAATTTAGACTGACTCAAATTKCAATTGTACAGAATAGTATCTATATACCTTGTGTACATGCTAATATCAATCATGGCCGATGAAAATGACATTTCATCGGTCTTCCTGACATGWACTGCACAAAATTGTAATATATAGTATCTATAGCGAGYACCTCATCAATGCTGAMTTACGCATACAAGATTAGACTCTCTTTCCCTACGAGTCATGAAACGGTCAAAAGGGAATTCAGGACTGTACWACGCTGAATAGAAACTACAACAACCACTGACAAATAAAATTCGATTCTCGTCTCCTTTTTTCAACCTTTGAAAAAAAGCTGCAATAAATGAATTTGAATAYCATGGACTTCCTATAGTGTTTTTTCGACAATACCTTTCCTTTTAAATCCGCTTTTATGAAAATCTTGCCATGCACCGATTTATTTGGTGTTTGAACCAGTAATAAAGCATTGACCAAAGTTTTGTTTGGCATAATATTTAGCTCCATTAACTTTAGACACAGGAAATCGCATTTTGTTGAAATTCGTTTTAGCTGAATATCAGATCCAGAAAGCAACCCTGGCATATATATAACAAATGGCAGTCCAATTTGGCTCCAACGGGAATCACACCCAATAGTGCAGCATTCATTTGTTAACAATGCAAGCAAACTGATTTCGGAGAAAAAAAATGGATTCAAATCAATAGGAAAGAAGCCTAAACAGATCTGCAAGACGAACAAAAATACCATACAGAAAATACAGACAGAAAGATGTTTCTATCATCAATTTTTATCTTTCAAGTACAAATGACAAATGATAATAAGAGATCACATTTTTAACACTACTTGTATACACCTATTATTACAGAAACCGTTGCATCGCGACTTCAATGTTCGAAGGAATAGTTGGGATTTAGGTTTTTCTGCGACTTGGGGGCGGAGCTTGATACTAATCAGCCAATGATTGAACGAGTTTTCGAAAAGCTCTGCCCCTCAGATTGAAAGAAAGAACAAAATCCAGACAAACTTCAAAACAAAGAGGTCGCGATGCATTTCCGCTATAAAATTGCAAGAACGTTGACCCTGAAATTGAGGAATTTAGGATACTAAGAAAAAAGATGAAAAATATGCACTAAAAAAGATGACAGATCGCTAAATATAAAATACTTTTTTGCACGGTAATCAGGTGTATATAATATCAAAAATCTCTAAATCTCAACTACCCCAACCACCCTGCACCTTTCTATGACTTTTAATGTGGATCCAACTCCAACGCCCATGCGCATATAAGATCCTTTGCACAATTGCCCTATTTCATTATGACGTCACAGTATGTGTACATCTGAAAACGATGCTCAAAAACAGTGGAAATTTGGACCATTTATGTTATATCTTAAAGTAGAATTTCAATGAATCGCGTTTTCATATGCATCATGTATAAAATGATTGCTCATGTACATTTTATTTGAAATGCAGTCAGTCTGATCCCTTCTGGCGACCATAATCCTTAGCGTTAAAACCCATAGAATGTTTTGATGTGACGTCATAATGAAATAGGGCAAATTAATCACATACGAAAATTTCCAGTCGTTTTTTGACTCAGCAGTTTTCAGCGAGAGACCATATGTAAAACATAAGAAACGGTCGCAAAGGTTATTGAATGGTCGTTTAAAAGACATTGCCAATGAAAATGAAAAACCCTCAATAAAACTACTTACATTTAGATACATTTTAGTTGTGTTTGTTTTTTTTGGGATTGTTAAAGACTGCGGGTAAACAGACAAAATGTTTTAAAATATGGCGCCATTTTGAATGAT